GTGTGTGTGTGTGTTGTATGTGTGTGTGTGTGTTGTATGTGTGTGTGTGTTGTATGTGTGTGTGTGTGTGTTGTATGTGTGTGTGTGTGTTGTATGTGTGTGTGTGTGTTGTATGTGTGTGTGTGTGTTGTATGTGTGTGTGTGTGTTGTATGTGTGTGTGTGTGTTGTATGTGTGTGTGTGTGTTGTATGTGTGTGTGTGTTGTATGTGTGTGTGTGTGTGTTGTATGTGTGTGTGTGTTGTATGTGTGTGTGTGTGTTGTATGTGTGTGTGTTGTATGTGTGTGTGTGTGTTGTATGTGTGTGTGTTGTATGTGTGTGTGTTGTATGTGTGTGTGTGTTGTATGTGTGTGTGTGTTGTATGTGTGTGTGTGTGTTGTATGTGTGTGTGTGTGTTGCATGTGTGTGTGTGTGTTGCATGTGTGTGTGTGTTGCATGTGTGTGTGTGTTGTATGTGTGTGTGTGTGTTGTATGTGTGTGTGTGTTGTATGTGTGTGTGTGTGTTGTATGTGTGTGTGTGTGTTGTATGTGTGTGTGTGTGTGTTGTATGTGTGTGTGTGTGTTGTATGTGTGTGTGTGTGTGTTGTATGTGTGTGTGTGTTGTATGTGTGTGTGTGTGTTGTATGTGTGTGTGTGTGTGTTGTATGTGTGTGTGTGTGTGTTGTATGTGTGTGTGTGTGTTGTATGTGTGTGTGTGTGTTGTATGTGTGTGTGTGTGTTGTGTGTGTGTGTGTTGTATGTGTGTGTGTGTTGTATGTGTGTGTGTGTGTTGTATGTGTGTGTGTGTTGTATGTGTGTGTGTGTTGTATGTGTGTGTGTGTGTTGTATGTGTGTGTGTTGTGTGTGTGTGTGTGTGTGTGTGTGTGTGTGTGTGTGTGTGTGTGTGTGTGTGTGTGTGTGTGTGTGTGTGTGTGTGTGTGTGTGTGTGTGTGTGTGTGTGTGTGTGTGTGTGTGTGTGTGTGTGTGTGTGTGTGTGTGTGTGTGTGTGTGTGTGTGTGTGTGTGTGTGTGTGTGTGTGTGTGTGTGTGTGTGTGTGTGTGTGTGTGTGTGTGTGTGTGTGTGTGTGTGTGTGTGTGTGTGTGTGTGTGTGTGTGTGTGTGTGTGTGTGTGTGTGTGTGTGTGTGTGTGTGTGTGTGACAAAATTCATACCGCGAGTTTCAGAAAAGCTTTTGAGCTTGACATTTGATCACGGCACCTTATTAGCATATGGGTCCGATATGCAAGAGACAAGTCGATTCGATGAGCAGAACCCAGAAACTGCGCCTCAAACGGGTCCACACGGCATCTGTCCCCGCAAAACAGGGTCTTGCAGGATTTTTGCGAAATTATCTATTTGATTGGCGTGTATACAGGGTGTCTCAAAAGTTTGTATGCACTGTTTGATCGTTAATATCTCTCTGCTAAAAAAGCTTTTCCCTTGCTTCTGGTAACGTTCTGTAGAGCTGGCTTCCGATTAGATTTGCATTATAGAATGAATCACCCATCTCTCTTCGTTACTGTAGGATTATGGTAGAAACTTCAAAGAGGGTTTTGAGCAATGAAAGCATATTTTGCCTCAGAAAGAAAACAAAACAGCCTGAAACTTTTACACTAGGCTAATTGAAGTTCTGATTATAGCTGTAAAGTTCCCAACTTATTATGATGCTTTATTGAAGAATTATACCAGGTAAGAGGTAGCGGTCGTTTTTTCAATGTTCCTAAAAAGTGCGGTTACACCGTTTAGAAAGCTTCGTAATCTTGTGAATAGTTGAATATTGAACTTAGCGTCCATAAAAACCCTATTACACAAGTTTTCACATTTTTTTGAAAAATTTTGAAACGGCGGCTTTCTCCACATTGACACCATATGTTTCAAGTTTCTACCGTAATCCTACAGTAATGAAGAGAGATGGGTGATTCCATCTATAATGCAAATCTAAGTTGAAGCCAGCTCTACAAAACGGTACCTGAAACAAGGCAAAAGACTTTTTGGGAAGAGAGATATTAACGATTAAACAGTGCATGCATTCTAAACACTTCTCAAAGCGTGTTTAGAATGCAACATTTTCAAGTGGCATGGGAGCTATTACGCGCAAGTAAGAGGTTTGGCGATGGGACAAAGATTAGCGCCTACACTTGCGGTAGCCTTCATGGCCAAGATCGAAGCGCCAGTCTTGGAATGCCGCCCACTGCTGTATTGCAGATACATTGACGATTGTTTCATAATCTGTTCAACACAGGCAGAGGTTGACAATTGTTTTAGAGTACTTAATGAGCAATCTGCATACATAAAGCTCACGAGGGAAAGGCCTAGCAATGAATGGTTGCCATTTTTAAATGTGCAGGTTAATATATCCTCAGGTGTGTGCATGACAAAATGGTACCGCAAGCCAAGTAATAAAAATATTCTTGTCCATTTCCGATCAGCTCATCCGCGTCAAACAAAGAAAGCCATCATCAAGAATATGTTCCGGACAGTTCTTCGTGTTTCCAGTGGACAGCAAGAAAGAGTGGAATTAGTGGCGCTTGCGCGGAAAATTGCGGCCTCCAATGGGTACAAAAATCGTGGTAGAACAGCAAGGAGGGGTGAAAATCGCCGTACCGAGGTAGACAGAACGAGCACAGTTGATAAGATACCTTTCTGCATCCCCTATATTTCCGATGAAGTGAGCACTGCCTTTCGACAGTGTCTGAGGAAATGTGGGCTGGAAAATACAGTTGCAATAGTGGAAACACCCCCTAATAACCTTAAAAGCATCTTGGTCCGCAATCGCATCTATGATCGCGGCTGCACTACGCCCAATTGCATTATATTCCCTGAGGGTAGGTGCGGAGACTGCATGGCGACGGGGGTCATCTATCTTATCACCTGCGGGAACTGCGGCGACGAGTACATAGGCGAGACAGCGCGGCCGTTATGTGTTCGCATTAGAGAGCACTTAGACGGCAGGGATAGATCACGAACCTCCACCCCACTAGGCACTCACAGGACGCTGGACGCTGAAACACGCGGAGACAAATTTTGTCGTCTCAGTGAAAATCCTGGCGCATGAATCGCATACACCGGCTCGCAAATGTTTAGAGGCCTTTTGGATCCATGCCAAAAGCCCTAAAATGAATCGTAAGGAAGAATGCCTATCCATCACTCGTGAACTCGCTCCGTACCTAGGTCAGATCTTCTGACCCGGCGGAGACGTTATAAATAGCCGTGCCATTAGCGTTTAACCATATTGCTCTCGCTCTGGCATCAGAATTCCATCGGCGTTTCAAAAGGTGAGTGTTTGGTCAGGCAGTTAACTATCGGTCTACCAAAGTCTTAGAGTTTTGTTTGCATAGCTGCAGAGACGTTTGGTCGAATAGTTTGCAAGTCGTTCTGTCCATTCCAGGCTCTGAAGAAGGCGACTTGCCGAAACGTCAGCCAATAAACTGTTAACAATCTCGGATCACGGCTCAATATCATAAACAACAAGTGCATACATACTTTTGAGGTACCCTGTATTTCTATGTCATCAACTTTACCATAAAAATACTCAAATATTATATTCCCGCGCAAAAACGGGACTGAAAAGTAATGAATGCGTAGATGGTTAATTTGTCAAAGATTTACTCAATAATGTGAGGAAATTTTTGCACAGAGATGTAACTCACATTCGTAAATGTTCTTAAAGCTACTACAAAGATATAAAAAAGTAGAAAAAGTGCTTCACTCTTGCATTTGTTCTTTTGCAAAAGATTTCTTCCACGCGAAAGTTACCGATTTCACATGGAAAAGCTTTCCGAATGAATAGTTGTTTACAATTTATGCGTGATAATCAGCGATGCACTTTGAGTTTCAAAGCGATTATTATGCGGGAGAGCAAAGCCTATAGATAGTAGAACAAGTGCGAACCTCTGCGAAGCAGAGGTGACGCGCTGGTTTTATGATAAAATGGCCAAACTTGTGAGTTTTCAGAGAGATTTTTCGCAGACAAAGATAGCACCTGAACCAGGCGAAAGGGTGCTGTCGCTTTTGCGCACATGCGATCGTTTCTCGCGCAGAATGTCGCATGTTTAGATCCTCTCACAAACATCGCTTCTTGCACTCTTGTTCCTGACGGCCGCATCGGCTAAAGGAGCATTCCTCTTCGGAATTGTGAGCCACTTGATGAGATAGAAGATTTGCCACCCCCGAATGGTGCTGGAGTCAATTGCTAAGCTAATTTGGAGAAAGTGAAACACCACCATCTAACGCACATGTTTCGAGACCATATTGTACCTATGCGTCACGAACGACATCTCACTTCTTAATATTGAGAAATTCCTAGAATAATACTTACTCCATTCACTCGCATGAATTTTTTACAGCTCCTAGCCCCTTGAATCTCCTGGCACATGCCCGTCCATATTCCATATCTGGTTATATCAATCATCACTACGGGTTCGTCATTATGAAATTTATGTAGTGCTTACGAATGCGTATCCGCTATACCCTTTTACTATCTGCGAGCCTCTGTGAAGCAGAAGTGACGCGCCGGTTTACATAATTGTTGAGAGTGACAACATATACTCCAGTTTTCTAGTCAAGTTGGTTTGTTCAGAAGGCAATTCTCAGCACCTTCTCATCAAACATCTTGCTGAAGTTAAGATGTCCTGCTGTTTAAAAAAAGAACAGATCGTTTCTACTTCAAGTAACTTTCTGAACAGTTATACGCTTGAATAATTTAATCAGTGATTTAAGTGTTCAAGTTTGAAGTCCATCTCAAATATGGTTCATTCTTAAAATCGTGACGACGAGTTGACTGCGGTCTTTGCGCACACAGGAGCATAAAACACCCATACAAACAGGCATCAACTCAACACCCAGCTCAGTTACTTCCAGTATCTGGATACTATCATTTGTAGGCAGAAAAACCATTCGAGTATAGATAGAAACCAAGAAATGGAAGGGCGTGCGTGTCGCGCGCGGTCGCGCCATCGTCGCGATTTTTCAGATGCCCTATACATCTCAGATACTGTGAAGATAAAACTTGAAAATTGGTGTACCTTGTTCGCCATCTCGATCTCATATTGTCCACTCGGATCCGTTCTTACATCTTTACACCTATCCCAGAGGAAAGGAAGCACTCCACGCCAGCACTTGTCGCTATGACCATCGCTGATGAAAACGACGTATTTCCCTATTTTAGGATCTTGGACCTTCTGAAACATGTGCATAATCATACATCAATATTTCAAAACATTTTGTTATGTTCAGAAGTTAGCGAAAACTACTATATTCTTTAGCGGCGGTACATATAAGGACTAAATTATTATAGTATTATCTTTTTTTGCAAACACCATTTGTAGAGTTAGTTTGCACGAACTTGTAAATAAAAGGAGGGATTGGAGACCTCTTGATTTTTATGCAAATCTTAACTTTTCCCAATTCTTGATGCTTAAAAGAAGAAAAACTGTTGACGTTTATTGTATATAATGCACGCTACGTGTGAACCAGAGGCTCGGCACAGGTGGCTCGTAGGCAAGCTGGATATCGTTTTTGGGACGAAAAGCAAAGGGGGTTTTGTTTTTGTGGCCGAAAAGAGACGAAATTTGCGACGTTTTTGGTCAACGTTTCGTTTTTTGGGGTTTTTAGGATAATGGCAAGGGGAGTTCGTAGAATTTAGGGAAAGTCAAAGGGACTTCGTTTTTTGCATTTTCCAAAGGCCATCTCGTGTCGAGACCTGGTGTAAACGGCGATGTGCGTGAAACCACTGAGTTAAAACTTTGCACACAGAGCTCACTAGGGAAGGATGGTTGGTCGAAGTGACCTTTTGAGATGATTTGTATACTGTAGTGGAGGACACTAAAGCTGATTCCAAATTTGGCTTAATTATCTGCGGCGCGTTCTTGGGCGAGGAGTTATGAGTGTTTGAAGGAGCAAAAACGAGTGTTTTTAGGATAAAAACAATTCTCAAAATTTTCCCAACGCTTAAATGAAACAGCTGGAGTGCGGATTTATCTTACCTAAAAGCATTTATTTTATAGAGTGCTGGAAAAATTACCGCTGATCCATTTAAGAGCTGGGAATAATGTTACTAGTGTTTTAATATTGTTTGCACATTCAACCTTTTTCTCCAATAAACGCTCTAACTTCTCGTGCAGGAATGCGCTGCAGATAAGGAAGGCAGATTCGGAGTCAGCATTCTATGCCCTCCAACATGGTATACAAATCATCGCAAAAAGACCATCCTTCACTTGTCAGTAGAGGCGGCGCTTTCACACGCTGCATGTCGTTTTTTGAACGGAAACGAAGGGGAACCCTAAAGTACCAGAAAACTGACGAAATATTGGAAAGCACAACTCTGACCATCAGCAAACCCGAATCTGGATGAGGGTCTGGCGAATTACCAGTTACAGGTGAATTCCACGTTATAAGGGCGAAAAGCGCATAAACTTGTGTGACTTGCGTGAACTTTTGTTACCAACGTGTCAAAAAAACAGTCTTTATCCATATGTAATCGGTCTATTTACAGCGAATAAGCAATATTGAGCTACCATTTGATATGTAATTCCGCGCGATGATCAAAAGAAAAGTACGAAAATTTTGAAAATATTGGTGAGAGGAGCTGTAAATGTGCAATTTTAGGTCGCTTTGCGCAACACGGGAGCATTCTGAGGTTGTGTGGGACACCGGACAAGTCAAAGCCATCTACATAATTCTCCTCTTTCTTCACACCAGTTTCTGGATTGTTTACATAAATCTATTCTTTAGATCAAACTCTATTTATGGTCCCCTATGCACTGTATGTACGACGTGGTATGGAAAGAGCATTTCTTCGCATTTAGCTTTTCATTCTATAATTTATTCCTATCCTTTCTTCGCTTCAATCCACTTTTTGTCGCTGCAGTACTAGAAGAGCTTCTACAAACACTACAGAAGCTATCTCGTGGTCTTCTGCAATGTCGAAGGGAACTTCGTTTTCGAAGTAACCACCTCGTGCTTGGCCTTGTTTGCATACATATTTTCAACACCAGCGGTTGTCGTAGGATACTTTTCTTGGGCTACTTTTTTGAATCTAATTTGTCTATTACATTTGAGGAAACTTGAGCTTACCAATCATCATTGAATCCTTTCCCCCATTGTCATGGAAAGGATGGTGAAGGTTATTTACATATCTCGATGAGGAGGATGTTGTGGTGTAAAAAAAGTTGTCACATTTTGAATTTATAAATGCAAATTGGACAAAACTTATGCAGCAAGCTAGTACATTTTGAAGTTGACTTTGTGGGTTTGAAAACTAATATAGAGCTACAAGCTTCTTCAGCCTAATAAATTTGGTTCAAAAATGAAGCGTATGGGTTGCAAAGTATCATTCGGTAGAGCAAGGCAAGCTCTACAGGAGGGCTATTTTGCTTTTGCAACAGCTTTCATCCACCTTGAGTTTGAAGCCAAAGACTAAAAAGATCCAATTGTCCGAAAAATCGAGAAAAATCGCAACTCAGTTCATAAGAACTCTACAAAGATTCTAACTTGCTCACGTACACAATCCGCATAAGACATCTATGTACGTCGTTGTCGTATTTTTTTACTCTGTTAGAAATTAAGAAAACGGAATTTTATGTGCGTTTGACAAAGTAATGCTGTGCTGTCTCCACATAAGTTAATATATACTACGAACGTGTAGAAGAACAAATGTAGATTTCAGCTTTCTATAAGCTTTAGTTCTCGAGAAAATTGAATTTTAGCTTGGGGCCCCTGACTAGGAAAAGCTATATGCGATATTTCTCGAGAACTAAAGCTTGCAGAAAGCTGAAAATTTACGTTTACACTTCTACAGGTTTGTAGTATACAACTACTTATGTGGGGACAGCACAGCATTACTTTGGCAAATGCGCGCAAATTTCCGTTTTCTTGATTTTTGACAGAGGGAATAATACGGCAACGACGTACATAGATGTCTTATGTGGATAGTGTTTGGATACGTGGGATACGTGAGCAAGTTAGAATTTCGGTAGGATTTTAATAAACTGAGCTACGATTTTTCTAGATTTCTAAGGCAGTTTAATCTTTTTAGTTTTTGGCTCGAAAGTCTAAATGGATGAGAGCTGCTGCAAAAGTAAGATTGCCGTCTTGTAGAGCTTGCTTTGCTTTATCAAATGGTACTTTGCTACCTACTCAAAAAAAGAAAATTATATGATTTATTACGGTTGAAAATCAAAACGGACTTTGATTTCCCGACATAATAAAAGCAGTAAAATGTTGAAGTAGCTTGCTTTGCTGGGTTGTGAGTTTCGTCACTCCAGCTCGTTATTTTAGATCACTCAGACAGTCGAAGGGATACCTCCGGCAGGCAAACGGAGCGAGTCTGCCACTTCGCGCTCTGGAGCGCTCCGGAGCCCTGCCATTTCACTCATTTTGGTGCTCCGGGGCTCTCCCAAATCTGGCGCACCTCCGGAGCAGAGATTCGCGCGTCCCGGAGAGGGGTCCCATTCGCCTGCTTGTGACGTCACGGTAAAGTCACGGTGAACGAATGGGACCCTTTTCCGGGACGCGCGAATCTCTGCTCCGGAGGTGCGCCAGATTTGGGAGAGCCCCGAAGCATAGGTGCGATAGGGGGAGCCGGGCTCTCCCCAGGTGAAGGGGGTCTCGGCTGTTCCCGACATTCCAGGGTGAAGGGGGTATGTGAGTCTAGGGGGGGGGGAGGGAGGAAGAGAGAAAAGGTAAAAAAGCGTGGTATGAAGAGCTCTAATTTGTACCTTATTTAGGCACAAATTAAAAAAAATTTAAAAATTTCAAAAGAAATTAAAAAATTTAAAAAAAAATTGATTATGAAGATCTGTGCTCCTGTTTCACTGCATCAACAAAAAACGAAAGCAATAATGTTTATCCCAAAAGATGTACAAGTTAGGAACAACTTCATTTCCTGCACATCATCATCAACAATATCACTATCGCTAACGTCAGAGACAACAAGTTCGCTGCCTGAAAAATCTTCTTCTTCCTCCAAAAGGTCATCGGAATAGAAGCAGAATTGCGTGCAAAAGCGTTCTGAGTCGAAAATGGATTTAAAACTTTCTTCTTCTTCTAAGCGCTTTTGTGATTTTTTTCCTGGCCCTCTGGTAGCACCAGGAAGTCAGCAGGTAGGTGACCAGTTTCTTCAAACCATCTTTTAGGATATTTCAAAAAGTCATACGGTAACAGCCTGTCTGGACCACTTATACCAATCCTTTAAATGAAGTTTTTAGATAACAATGTGTTTAGTAGAAGGTTGACAAATCTTATGTATTTGCTTAGATGCTCTATCGTTGTACGACTTCTGCGTTGTGTTCTGATAACAGAGTAGATAAAAAATTTCTTTCTCCACCTCTGCCGTGCTAGTCGGAATGGAAACTAGCTTTGCTAGTAGGTCCATCAGATTTTTGCGGTAAGTAATGGGAAAAGAGCCAGATCTCATATGCTTTCGCAGCACGGGAAGGAAATAGTGCATACTTTTTGGGCCTTGTCGAACTCTGGCTTCACCTCCTCTGGCATACGTCCTGTTAGCTGATTAGAAAGCTGCTCACCTTCTTCTTTAACAGCATCTGCGGAATAGCCGAAAAAAGGAGGTACTATGCTGCGCGTTGGTTTTTTTTTGAATTTTATAGGTCATATTGTCACAAGGCGAATAACTTTCAAAAGCATAAAGCACAGAGTTGGGTTCGCACTCCAGCCGGGATCTAAGTGCAGTAACTATGCTTGTACTAACACCTTCCTTTTGTTCATATCCATGGTTGTGAATTTAGCAGCCTTGAATTCTTCAGCAACCTGAAGATCAGCAATGGACTTCCTGGACAATTCCGCAATGAAACTAGACAATCTGCTTGGATTCCTTATGCAGGAAATCAGAGAGTTTCGCTCAATTGCCAACTCTGTATCAATGTCGACAACATTTTCGTCGGCGTAAGACTCTCCTTCTGCCTCGCTGTTGAACTGGAACACATGCGAGTCATCTGCGATTTTGCAAAGTCTGCCTGCCGTTTCCTCTTCAAACTGCCAACTTTTCCAAAACATTGAGGGATATTTCAATAACATGTTATTCTTCTGAATGCCTTAGAGTTTTTGATTCATTGAAACCAACCATTCTCTACAAATTAGGTAAGGTGAGTCTAGAGCGTCCTTCTTCAGCACTAGGTTTACAGAGTATAGATTCCAGAAATGGGCGGGTTTTTGTGTGAAGGTG